AGCTTCGACAGGGCTTCGACAGTCGACGAGGCCACGAGAGGCTTCGACGAGTTCGAGGAACTTCGACGAGTAACAGAACTTGAAGGTCGATGGAAATTTTGTGGCGGCATCGGGTGAGTGAGAATTAGGGTTAGTTTAGTTTAGTTTGGGTTTTGGATTTGGGTTTTTCAGCGCCCAGATTGCTTTTTTTCAATTGTGGGGCGGGCCGCGTAGGCGCTCCCAGCGCCTAAAGTTGACCACTCAGGGCTTTTTGAGACGCCCTGGGCACCACCTCCGCCTAGGCGGGCGTCTAGACGGTCGCCCACGGCGTTTTTTTAAAACACTGCCAAAGATACATAGGGGCACTTTGATGTTAGTCAAAAAACTTGTCTAAATCATGCTTTTCAAAAGAGAAACGCTCTATAAAGCGCAAAGCACACGCTGCACTTCTGCTTTTAAGCAATGAGGCGGATGTAAGCTTCAAGGGATAAGTAGCTTCTTGGTTGAGTTTCAAAGCGATTACCCTTCAATAAGTTCCGAAGCAAGTTCTGAAGCGAGTTTCAAAGAAGCTTTTTCAAACATTGATTAATATAGCACATGTCCTTGTCCTTGTTGATGCCTTTTTAACACAAAGTTTCACAGATGCACCATGTCAAACATGATTCTTTTGTTTCATATACTTTTTAAAAGTTGTATGTTAAATTGCGTCAATGTGTCCCCAAAGAAACAAAAACAGATACAAAAACAACAACAAAGCATTTATCCCATTCTTCCATTCAATCTGTTTAGGGTTATCTCCCCTATTAACTTAACCATAGTCGTATCCTTTCTTAACTGTTTCCAACCAGGCATTATTCTATAACTACTATCTGTAAATTTGTCAGAGTTCTTTAATCTAAGAACAAAAGGAAAAGAAAAGATGATAACTTTCACTAACTACAATGAACAAATTTCTCAATTCAACGCCCATAGTCTAATTATGACTACATAACACAAACAGGGAAATTTTTATGACCGAAGAACAAGTTTTCTTAAGATTAGCAATTAGCAGACTACATATATCAACAGCAATAGAAAAAACCCTATTTGCATACTAATACCCCAAAGCTTCAGCTTTTTTTAACTTCGCCACCTTGAAGTTCTATTTTGACAATTTAATACCTTAAAATTTCATATAGACATTAAGTTGTCAATTTGGAACTCAAGCCCTAACTTCGTTTCCCCAAATCTCCAAAATCTGAAATTTTGTAAGAAATTGTTTCTCATTCACTTTTCTATGCTCTTGAACAGAATTAGCAAATATTATTTGTTGCACTTTGGGGTATCAAATTAACAAAACTGAACTTTGGGGGCATCAAAATTAACATTAAAGTGCAAATAACCCACTTCACAAAATTCAAAAGCATACCTCCTTTGATTTCAATCCATCTTCTTCTTCCTCCTCGCTCTCCTCCTCACTCTCCTCCTCCTCCTCCTCCTCCTCCTCGCTCTCCACTTCCTCCATCTCATCGCCACCCCCGACCCACTCCCTCCGATCAACCCCTCTCCTCTTCTGCTCCCCTCGTATCTTCTCCGTAATCTCCGCCTCCTCACACCGTCTCAACAAAGTCTCCGACCACCGCTCCCCGGGCCTCGACATCACTCTCCCCATCGGATCCTGAAACCTCCCCAAAATCTCATAATGCAAGTACGGCTCCCGCTCCCTAAAAGATCGCGACTTTCTGTCTTCTAGGGTCGGATTCAGGAGGGATTGAAGTCGTGAGAGGTGGAATTTGACGGAGTAGTCGGTAGTTAGGGCTTCGAAGGGGAAAAGCTCGTCGGCCGTAAGGTGGGACCCATATCGCTCGAGGAAGAGGGAGGGGTCGCGGCAAAGGAGATCGAGGAGGAGGGTTTTGCGGTCGGAGGGAGGAGGGGCGGTGAGCTCAACGGAGCGCGGAAAGTAGAGGCCTTCGACGGCGGAGAGTCGGCCTGCGATCGATTCCATCGCCGACGGGTCCATGGCTTTCGCTCTAACCCTCGCCTTTGCTTTTGCTTTTGCTTTCTTTGTTTCTTCGCGATGAGGCGGTGGAGGGTTTTTGCTCGATATTGGGAGTTTTGCAGTTGAGACCTCTGGATTTTCTATATTTATAACTCATAGAAAGAAAATGCGGGTCGGGTTAGAAACTACCACCCGTATCCATATTTGGCGGGCATCCTCATCTGGGTAACTTCACAGAAAACCCCTGAACTTGTAGGCGATTTGTACAAAACTATCATCACCTTCTTCTTGTTATTCGCCTTGAAGAGGACAAGCGATATCGGGTTTCGGGTCGCGAAAAGAACCATGGATTCGACCTCTTCATCATCGTCGGCGTATCCTAGCGCTGCGAGGATCTCGGACTCCCCTTGCTTCCCACAGTACACAGCTTCTCTCAAATGTAAGCAAACCCCAACCCTTCTCTTTTTCCCTCCATTTTGTTACTTGATTGTATTTATCGTCAAGTTCAGCAAGTAAAATTGAGATGGGTTTTGAGCGAAATCTGAAAATTTCAAGTAAAATTGGCTACTGCGGATAAGAATTTGATCTCATAATTAAAAATTTTGGATGTAAAGGAAGCTAATATTAATGCAAGAAGCAGTTCTGTGGTGAGTATTCCTTAATGAAGCCATCTTTTACCCAAAATAATAGCGACTTTGAAGTCACTTAGGTTCTCAATGGGAGATGGATCTCAGCCAAATAAATGTACTTTGTGTGGGGAGCAACCTGAAGTCTTAGTTTGAGTGAATATTCCCGAAAGTTTAAAATTGTGCATTGTCTTCCATATGAGACATAAATATTATACTGCAGCCATTAGGACATCATTGCCCACAAAAAAACATGCATTTGATGGTTCAAAAACAAAGAACACAAGCAAACTTTTGAATACATGATAACGAAGAATAAATAGTATGTACAGATATGTGAATCATGGGGACTTGCATT